TTTTTTTTTTGAGACAGAGTTTTACTCTGGTACCCTAGCTAGATTGCCTGGGCATAATAGCTTACAGCAACCTCAAACTCCTGGGCTCAAGTGATTCTTTTGCCTTGGCCTCTGGAGTAGGTGGGACTATAGGTGACAGACAGGTGTCCATCACAACACCTGGCTAGTTTTTTCTATTTTTAGTAGAGATGGGGTCCTGCTCTTGTTCAGGCTGGTCTCAAACTCCTGAGCTCAAACAATCCACCTGCTTCTGAACAATCCTACTGAATGCAGGATTACAGCATTCAGTAATCCACCCACCTGGCCTAAAAACCAACTCCATGCTAGTCACTATTGTAGATGCTAGAAATTCAGAAGAGAACAAAACACATAGAAGTATGTTCATGAAACTTATATTCTAATCAGAAAATACAGTAAGAAATGAAAAGAGAAAAAATACAGCATGTCTGGATATGATAAATGATATGGGGAAAATTACACCAAGGAATGGGATTGTGGAGTATAGGATAACTGTTGAAATTTTTAATAGGTTGGTGAAATCCTGACTGCAAGGTGACATTTGGGCAAACAAAGAAAAGGAGATAGCCATCAGTAATATAATTTGAATAGATTTATTCTTCTCAACAAGAAGAATAAATTAAGATTTGTGTCCCCAGTGGCTAGACCAGTATCAGACATATCGTAGACCCAGGAAAATATTTGCTGAAAAAGTGAACGAAAAACCTATTTGTGATTGCCTAACTCTAAACATATCTCCATCTTACATATAGACACATCATGTTTCCACAAGTCTTGAATATGAAAAAAAAAAAAGACTTTAGTATGTGTAATATGTGTATAGACTGGGTTTTCCAGGACTGGAAATCCTGTGAGATAGGAGGCTGCATTTAAAGTAACAGTAGAACACAACTATATCCGTCTTCATTAGGTGTTGCCCCATTCATAATGATGCTATGAATAAAAGCATGTGTAGGCTGGGTACACTGACACACACCTATAATCCCAGAATTTAGGGAGGCCAAGGCAAGAGGATTTCTTAAGGCCAGGATTTTGAGACCTCCTTGGGCAATATAGCAAGACCTCTATCTCTATAGAATTTTTTTGTTTGTTTTTTGAGATAGAGTCTCACTCTGTCACCCTATGTAGAGTGCCATGGTCATAGCTCACAACAACCTCAAACTCTTGGGCTTGAGTGATCCTCTTGTCTCAGCCTTCCAAGTAGCTGGAACTATAGGCATGCACCACCATGCCTGGATAGTTTTTTCTATTTTTTTTTTCTATTTTTAGTAGAGACAGGGTCTCACTGTTGCTCAGACTGGTCTCAAACTCCTAAGTTCAGGAGATCTACCCACCTCAGCCCAAGTGCTAGAATTACAGGTATGAGCCACCATGCCCAGCCTCAGAATTTTTTAAAAATTAGCCAGGAGGTACGATATGCACCTATATTCCTACCTACTCAGGAAAATGAGGCAGGAAGATTGCTTGAGCCCAGGAGTTCAAGGCTGTAGTAAGCTATGATAACACCACAGCACTCTAGCTTGGGAAACAGAGCAAGACCCTGTCTCTAAAAAAATAAATAAATAATTTTTTAAAATGCAAACATGTGGCCAGGTACAATGGCTCACTCCTGTAATCCTAGCACTCTCAGAAGCCAGGACAGGTGGGTCCCTTGAGCTCAGGAGTTTGAGACCAGCCTGAGCAAAAGCAAAACCCATCTCTGCTAAAAATAAAAAAAATTAGCCAAGTGTTGTTATGGGTGTCTGTAGTCCCAGTCACTCAGGAGGCTGAGGAAGGAGGATCACTTGAACCCAGGAGTTTGAGGTTGCTATGAGCTAGGCTGACACCACAGCACCCTCACTTGAGCAACAGAGTGAGGCTGTCTCCAATAAATAAATAATTAGCATGCAAACTTTTTTCTAATGTCTTCTAATGTAGTCATATCATAGAATTGGCATCTTGAAATACATTATTTTGTTGTATGTTATGTTCTGTTTGTTTCCTCTTTGTATTACATTATGTTGATGTTTTTAAATTATATATACAAATAAGTACTATTAGTTTTGAATTTCATTCCAGGATAGAGAATCAAGTCTAAAAAATATTAGACTAATTGCGTCTAATAGGATTGCAACCCACTGGCATAAATTTTTATAGACTGTGTGAATGCTGAGCCCCTGTATGTCTATCAGAGGGGCCTCTTCCTTTTCTACCCTAGTGAGGGAAGTAAGAGCCATCTCCTTATAGTCTCTCACTTCCAAAGGAGGAGCCCACCCAATCCTGCCCCACTGCAAGGGCTGGTCATGTACAACTCTGGTGTGGGTTCATGTGCTTTTTTGAGGCTTAGTTTCTTCTCTTTGTGTAAGGAGGAGAACATCATCTACTTACATCAGAGCACCACTGGGAATATGAAATCATGTGCACAAAGCACACAACATCTGTAATAATAAGGGTTCAACCAATAATTACTCAGTATCCTTGCCAATAAGGTGTCTTCCTCTGGGAAGACACCCCTAAAATCACCTCAACTGCTGTCCCTGCTCTATCTTCTCCCACAGCAAAAGCTCAGGGTACAGAGATGTCTGTCCCCCCAACCCCTCCCCCACCACTTCTCCCTGTCAGAACCAGCCCCGTTCCCAACTAGAGCCATACTCCAGCCATACCTGATCATGCAGCTTGTCCTCAGGACCTGGCTTTGTCTTATGGTGCTTGGCGTCCATACAGACATTGAGCAGGTTGGTCCTGCCCTTGGTGCTGAATGTGGGGGCTACCCAGGCCAGAAGCAGCAGAAGCAGCATCAATTTCCAGGCCATGTCTTTCTATCCCTACAGAAGAATCTAGGGTAAGGAGACCAAGGCCTGAGGGGAAAGAGCTCCAGGCAAGGAGCCTCTTCAGCCCCTGCCTCAGTCCTAGCCCTACAGTGAAAGATGAAGTCAGACCTTCTGTTCAGTGCTGAGCTCCTGAGATTCCCTGAGTTTAGGATTGAGAAAGTTGGGCCAGGAGGGCTCCCTCACTCCAAGGCTTGGAGAGCTCAGTAGGGGATCTGGGGTTAGAGGGTAGAACCTCAGAGAGTCTTCCCAAGTTGGAGGAGAGGACTTGTACCGTCACCTGAGCCCTCACCTTCTCTCTCGACCAGTGTTTTTCAACCTTTTTTATCTCACAGCACACTTGAACCTATAGTTAAACTTCTATGGCACACTTAAAGCATGTTGATCAAAAAAATAAAAATAAAAAGAGTAAAGCGGAGCGTGGTGGCCTGTAATCCTACCACTCTGGGAGACTGAGGCAGGTGGATTGCCTGAGCTCACAGGTTCAAGACCAGCCATGTGTTGCAGTGGGCACCTGTAGTCCCAGCTACTTGGAGGCTGAAGCAAGAGAATCACTTTTTTTGTTGTTGTTGTTCGCAGTTTGGCCAGGGCCAGGTTTGAACCTGCCACCCTTGGTATATGGGGTCGGCACTCTACTCACTGAGCCACAGGTGCCGCCCAGCAAGAGAATCACTTGAGCCCCAGAGTTTGAGGTTGCTGTAAGCTGTGACCCCACAGTACTCTACTGAGAGCAACAAAGTGAAACTCCTCTCAAAAAAAAAAAAAAAAAAACAGAGTAAAAAAAAGAAAAACTTCTTTCAAAAATAATTTTTTTTTAGAGACAGAGTCTCACTTTGTCACCCTCAATAGAGTGCTGTGGTGTCACAGCTCACAGCAACCTCCAGCTCTTGGGCTTAGGTGATTCTCTTGCCTCAGCCTCCCGTGTAGCTGGGACTACAGGCGCCCACCGCAACGCCTGGCTATTTTCTTGTTGCAGTTTGGCCAGGGACAGTTTTTTTTTTTTTTTTTTGAGACAGAGCCTCAAGCTGTCCCCCAGGGAGAGTGCCGTGGCATCACAGCTCACAGCAACCTCCAACTCCTAGGCTCAAGCGAGTCTCCTGCCTCAGCCTCCCAAGTAGCTGGGACCACAGGCGCCCGCCACAACCCCCAGCTGTTTTTTGGTTGCAGCCATCATTGTTGCTTGGCAGGCCCAGGCTGGATTCGAACCCGCCACCTTAGATTGTATGTGGCTGGCACCTTAGCCACTTGAGCCACAGGCACCGAGCCCCAGGGCCAGTTTTGAACCCACCACCCTCGGTATATGGGGCTGGTGCCAGGCTTACTGAGCCATAGGCGCCGCCCTGAAAATAATTTAATTACTGGTCTGCAAAAATTTTCATAGCACACCTACGATCTCTCACAGCATCAGTGTGTCATAGCACATGGATTGAAAATCACTGCGCTAGACTTTATCTACTTTATCTAAGTAATTAAATAGCTCAGGTTGATGTCCTGCTATCTTGAAAAGGGCCAGTAACACACAGTGCACTCCTCCTGCATTGAGCAAGTGCTCTGTATTTAGGCTCTGGGTCATCTGGGTTCCTATGCCAGCTTAGGAACCCTGTTAACCCCGAGGAAAGTAGTGACCCAGCTCTGCTGAGTTCTCCAGATGGGCATGAGGATCAAGTGACCCACAGGAAACTGGCTAAATGATACAAAAAAGGAAAAAGTACTCGTTTTTAAATAGCTTTGCTTCCTCAGACTTTTTCCTTCTCTATTTCCTTCCCTATTCTTCTAGCCCATCCTGAGTCTGGCCTCCTTAGCTGTCTCTGGGCTAACACAGCAGACCCCTCCTTCACCTCTCAAAAGACAAATGCAGAGACCCTTAGACCTGAGCAGCAACATAACAGTCCCCCATAGAGGAGCCAGCCAGACAAGCACTTAGAGTCATGCAGGCACCCAGCAAAAATGACAGCCCTCTTTTCCTCTGTTCATTCCTTCCTGTCACCCCCCCCCCAACACACCCCTACCCATTACAGAACTGTTCCTTTGGGCTCTGTCACCGAAGTATTGAAGAGTTGACCATGGACACCCCCTCCTCTCCCTCACCATCCCCACGTGTAGTTGATCACCAGGCTCTGCCAAGGGAGCTTCCAAAACTTCACTTCCCATGGCTCTGTGTTTAGGGTCAGGTCTTCCCTCCTCCAATTTTGTCTCCTTCAAGTTGTCTTCTCCACAGGAACCAAAGTGATTTTTTTTTTCAGTCACAGAGTCTCACTCTGTTGCCCTCCCTAGAGTGCCATAGCGTCACAGCTCACAGCAACCTCCAGTTCTTGGGCTTAGGCGATTCTCTTACCTCAGCCTCCCGAGTAGCTGAGACTACAGGTACCTGCCACAATGCTCAGCTATCTTTTTGTTGCAGTTTGGCTGGGGCTGAATTTGAACCTGCCACCCTTGGTATATGGGGCCGGTGCCCTACTCACTGAGCCACAGGCGCCTCTCCAAAGTGATCTTTCTAAAGAGAAACATGGCTCTCCCCTATGCACAAACCCACCAGTCTCCCCTGTGCCCTTGTCACCCTTCCCTTCTTAGCATGTCTTGCCTGAACCTCCGTTGCTGCTGGGAGAATACACAGCTGTGTCTGAGTTGTTATCTCTCCAGGCGGGCAACAGATCTGAGCCTGTAGGCTGTCTCCAGTGGCTTCTGTCCTCAGCGCAGGAGGGACTACAAGCTCTAGTTAACATAGAATGAAATTTCCCTACTTAGCTCTTCTCCTTCCTCATTTCCTTCTCTTCCTCATTTCCTTCTCTTCCTGACTCCACCCTCTTCAGGACTCCATAAATCGGCTTGGCACCTATGGCTCAAGTGGCAAAGGCGCCAGCTACATATACCTAAGGTGGTGGGTTCGAATCCAGCCAGGGCCCTCCAAAACAACAATGAAGTTTGCAACTTGTGGCAGGTGTCTGTGGTCCCAGCTTGGGAGACTGAGGCAGGAGACTCGCTTGAGCCCAGGAGTTGGAGGTTGCTGTGAGCTGTGATGCCACAGCACTCTACCCAGGGGGATAGCTTGGGGCTCTGTCTCAAAAAAAAGACTCCATGAATCTGTCATTTAGTAATTTCTGTTTGCACCCATCCTTTACTTACTCATCCAGGATCCACACATGCAATATTCTTCCAAATCTAGAGAATCGCTCATCTCCAAGGGGATCTGAGTTTTCTAGGTATCTGCACCGGTTCTTAGGGTAAGGTTGGTTTGATGATGACACAGCCTAATGGAGAAGAACCCACCAAGCTTTAGGGGTAGGTCGAGGGAACCCAGTGAGAGCTCTATGTGTTGCACAACCTTGGGAAAGCTTTAGTTTGTTCACTAGAAAATATTGTAGGCTCGGCGCCTATAGCTCAACCAGCTAAGGCGCCAGCCACATACACCTAAGGTGGCGGGTTCGAATCCCCAGCCCGGACCCGCCAAACAACAATGACAGCTGCAACCCAAAAATAGCCGGGTGTTGTGGCGGGCACCTGTGGTCCCAGCTACTTGGGAGGCAGAGGCAGGAGACTCGCTTGAGCCCAGGAGTTGGAGGTTGCTGTGAGCTGTAATGCCACGGCACTCTACCCAGAAGGACAGCTTGAGGCTCTGTCTCAAAAAAAAAAAAAAAAGAAAAAGAAAAGAAAATACTGTAGCTGGTAGTTGAGAATTATATATGGGAAAAGCCTGGTGCATACAAAGAAAGTTAAATGACAGCTATCAGGTTACTGTGTGAGTAGCCAAGTAGATACAGGCAGAAATTGAGGTACAGAAGTCAAGGGATTTACTCAGGGTTACAGAAAAATAAAAATTGCCTCAAATATTATAAATGACAATATTTCATCATCTAGCATTTCTGAAAACATAATTAAGCAGTTTTTATGGTGTTTGAAAATAATGGTGAAATACACATTACATAAATGTAACCACCTTCACACTTCTATCTGTACAGTTCAGTAATAATGATATATGCATTCACACTGTTGTGCAATCAATCTCTGGAACATTATTTATCCCGCAAAGCAGACTCCATATCCATTAAACAACTCTCCATTTCCCTTTTCCCCAGACCCAGCCAACCACCATTCTACTTTCTGTCTCTATGAACCTTCATGTACGTGGAATTATGCAGTCTATGTACTCTTATTTCACATAGCATAATGTCCTCAAGGTTCATCCATGCTGTAGCATGTGTCAGAATTTTCTACCTTTTTCAGGCTGAATAATGTTTCACCGTATGGACGTACCACATTATCCTTAGTCTTGCATCTGTTGATGGATGCTGGGTTGCTTCCACCTCTGGGCTATCAAGAAGAATACTTTTATGAACATGGGTATATAAATATCTCTATAAATAGACTTTACATTCAATTATTTTGCATATATATCCAGAAATTACATTTCTGGACTATATAATAATCAATGTTTAATTGTTGATAAACTGCCATCCTGGATCCCTTAGTGGCTGCACTATTTTACATTCCCATCAACAGTGCACAAAGGCTCCAGTTTCTCCATATTGTCACCAACACTTATTTTTTGGCTTTTTGGTTTTTTGTTCTATAGTAGCCATCATAGTAAGTATGAGGTGAGCATCTCACTGTGAGATGTCTCACTGTGGCTTTGATTTGTTATTTCCCTAGTGATTAGTGATGTTGATCATGTTTCCCTAGGCTTGTTGGTTGTTTGTGTATCTTCCTTTTATCAGATTATGTAATTTACAAATAATCTCTCCTATTTTGTAGGTTACCTTTTCACTGTGTTGATTGTCCCTTTTTAAAAAAATTTGAAATAGGGTCTTGCTCTGTTGTCCAGACATGAGGGTAGTGATGTCATCATAAGTCACTGCAACTCAAATTCTTGGGCTCAACTGATCCTCCTGCCTCAGCCTCCCGAGTAATTGGGACTACTGGAGTGCCACCACTCCTCGTTAATTTTTTTAACACTTTTGTAGAAATGGGCGTCTCACTATGTTGCCCAGGCTTGTCACAAGCTTCTAGCCTCAAGCCATGCTCCTACCTTGGACTCCCAAACTGCTGGGATTACAGGCATGAGCCACCACATGGAGCCTGACTGTACTTTGATAAACAAAAGTTTTTAGTTTTGACGTGGTTCAATTATCTATTTTTGCTTTTGTGGCCTGTGCTATTCAAGAACCAACTGCCTAATCCAATGTCATGAAGCTCTTTCCCTATGCTTTCTTCAAAGAGTTCTATCATTTTAGCTCTTATGTTTAGGTCCTGGATCCATTTTAAGTTAATTTCTAAATATTGTATAAAGATGTATTTATACCAGTATATTATACAAGTATGTTAGATATCGGTGTATTTAGGTTATATATGTATATTACACTTACACAAATATGTAAAACAAGGGTCTGGATTTATTTTTTTGCGTATAAATATCTAGTTGTATCCTGGCATCATTTGCTGAAGACTTTTCTTCTTCTTACTGAAATCTCTTGACATCCTTGTCGAAAACCTTTACTCTCCATTCTATTCCATTGATGTATACATGTGGATCATTACAAAAGTTTCAAGATACACAAAAATCAAGAAACATACTATCTGTGTGGAAAGAAACAAATACTACAATTCTGATAAGCCCAGCAAGTTGAAAGTTGCACAGGTGAATCAGAAAGGCCACTGTTAACTGTGTTTCTTAGAAGTGAAATAATGGACCATAACACAGTCTGTCTCAAAACTTAAGAAGTGACCCATGTATCTGTTCTTATGCCACTACCATATCATCTTCATTATTGTAGCTTTGTATGCAGTGAAATTTTTTTAGCTCAGAAGACCAGCCTAAGCAAGAGCAAGGCCCCCTATCTACTAAAAATAGAACAATTAGCTGGACGTCGTGGCACATCCTATAGTCCCAGCTACTCAATTTATTGCCCTCGGTAGAGTGCCATGGAGTCACAGCTCACAGCAACCTCCAACTCCTGGGCTTAGGTGATTCTCTTGCCTCAGCCTCCTGAGTAGCTGGGACTACAGGCGCCCGCCACAACGCCCAGCTATATTTTTGTTGCAGTTTGGCTGGGGCCGGTTTGGAACCCACCACCCTCAGTATATGGGGCCATGACCTACCCACTGACCCACAGGCACTGCCCTGTATACAGTGAATTTTGAAAACAGAAAGTGTGAGTGTTCCAGATGGTTTTCTTTTTCAAGATTATCTTGTGGGCCCAGCACAGTAGCTCATGCCTGTAATCCTAGCACTTTGAGAGGCTGAGCTCAGAAGATCAGCCTAAGCAAGAGCAAGGCCCCTTATCTACTAAAAATAGAACAATTAGCTGGATGTGGTGGCACTTGCTGTAGTCCCAGCTACTCAGGAGGCCGAGGCACAGGGATTGCTTCAACACAAGAATTTGAGGTTGCTGTGAGCTAGGATGCCATGGATCTCTACCCAGTGTGACAAGGAAACTCTGTCTCAAAAAGAAAAACAATGCTGGCTGGGGTTTTGACAATGATACTGTCCACTCTGTAGATTAATTGAGGAAGTATTGTCATGTAACAATATTAAGTCTTCAGGCAGCACCCCATAGCTCAGTGGGTCGGGTGCCAGCCACATACACCCAGGCTGGTATGATCCGACCTGGCCCAGCCAGCTGAAAAACAATGAAAACTGCACCAAAACAAGTAGCCTGACGTTGCAGCGGGCTCCTGAGGTCCCAGCTATTTGGGAGGCTGAGGCAAGAGAATCTTTTGCGCCCAAGAATTTGAGGTTGCTGTGAGCTGTGACTCCACAGGACTCTACTGAGGGTGACATAGTCTCTCTTGTTTTTTTAGAGACAGAGTCTCACTTTGTCACCCTCTGTAGAGTGCTGTGGCATCATAGGTCACAACAACCTCCAGTTCCTGGACTCAGGCAATTCTCTTGCCTCAGCCCCCGAGTAGCTGGGACTGCAAGCACCCACCACAATGCCCAACTATTTTTTGTTGCAGTTTGGCTGGGGCCGGGTTCAAACCCACCACCCTTTGTATATGGAGCCGGTATCCTACTCACTGAGCCACAGGCGCCACCCGATTTAGTGTCCTTGATATAATTTTTTCTCTGTATTGATCAGCTGCATTTTATGACATATCATTTTCATATTTTTCTTTAATTCTTTAGACATGATTTTCTTTTCCTTTTTTGGAGGGACAGAGTCTCAAGCTGTTAGCCTGGGTAGAGTACCATGACATCACAGCTCACAGCAACCTCCAACTCTTGTGCTTAAGCAAGTCTCTTGCCTCAGCCTCCCAAGTAGCTGGGACTACAGGCACCCACCACAACGCCTGGCTATTTTTTGTTGTTGTTGCAGTTGTCATTGTTGTTTTAGCTGGCCCAGGCTGAGTTCAAACCCACTAGTCTTGGTGAATGTGGCCCATGCCCTACCCACTGAGCTACGGGAGCTGCCCATAGACATGATTTTCTCCAATTCTTTTTTTTAAGACAGAGTCTCAAGCTGTCACCCTGGGTAGAGTGCCGTGGCATCACAGCTCACAGCAATCTCCAACTCCTGGGCTCAAGCGAGTCTCCTGCCTTAGCCTCCCAAGTAGCTGGGACCACAGGTGCC